CATGACTTGAAAAAAATTACATAGTGCAGCGCAGCTGCTATCAAAGGTTTTCGTGCATTACGGTCACTTCGCCAAGCATTCAAATGCTTTGACGAGGAAATGTTTCTCATTTTATATCCTACCTATGTAAGACTACGCTTAGAGTACTGTATCCAAGCTGCTAGCCCATGTCTGATAAAGGACACTAACTCACTTGAGCGTATTCATTGTGTGGGAACAAAATTAGTGAAGGGTCTTTCTAAACTCCTCTACGATGAGCGCTTAAAACGCCTAAACATTTCTCCTTGTCGTATCGCAGGACGCGAGGTGATCTTATACTGGCATTTTGTATCTTTAATTATGATTTGAGTGTTAATATGTTCTATATTTTTGCTCCCTCCAGCACTAATAATCTCCGAGGCCATAGCAAGAAGGTTCATAAACCGCGACCTAATAAACTTAAAGTGAGGTTCGGTTTTGCTCATCCAGTAGTCAATAACTGGAACGCCTTACCCGAACAAGTGGTATCATCCCCACCAGTGAATATTTTCAAGGAGAAGCTGAACCTTCACTGGAAGGCAATCTGTTAGGATTAACACAGGTTCACCAACCTACCATCCTTATTACTGAGGACTGAAGATCTTTTCTGAAAATAACCAAATAGACTAAAAGTGACGTGTGGGTCTATTGGGATCGTACCTACTCAGAAATGAGTGTGTTTGTGCTGTGTAACACCGTCTATTACAACATTTTTGTTTCTGTTTTGTTTATCGCTATCAAGTTCATACCTAGTGATGGCTCTTTTCAATCTGTTTACAATTATCAGAAACCAATATTGGATTCCTACTTTCAGCTATTATTTTCGATTATTGTAGGATCAAGATAAAAAAGTATTCTATAATTTGAACAAATAACTAACCTACAAAGCCTTAGACTCAGAATCCACGAAACAATGCGTTCTTGGTTTCAGCTTCATAAAGATTGAATATTCGGGCTACTTGTACATTGAGCAATTTCAGGCCGAAGTTTAAATGATTTAAAGTAGGTAAACAGCTGATCTCTGACGGTTGAGTATGTCAAGGCTAAGTCGTGTTGTCCAAGATATTTTGGTTATGAATACCTCTGAATTAACATGCAGATAAAATTTGTACGTTAAAAATGGCTTTTAAATTAAAGCTGACAAATATTTTTTCTGGAAGTGTGTATTGGTTGGCTGAAAATGAAGTCATTGTGCTGGAACTAAAATTACCAAAAGTATTGCGCTAATTGTTAACCTGTTGTGCAAGTGCCAGCAATTCGTTGACTTTAAATGCATTTTTCTGCTCATTTGAGGTGTCTGAAAGGGATTCGTGCAATGTCACTCACTCCATATATATATATATATATATAATTGTGTTTCTAGGTGAAGTTTCATTTCGGTAGATGACGGGGCTCACATCTCTCGTTTTATAGGGAAAATTTTTCAAACTCCGAGTATGCTACCTACTTTTTTCAACCATGTGATATATACGATACTAACTAGTGTACAGTTTTTATCGCATGACTAGATACACGTTAGAACGACTAGAAACTGGTCTTATCGGCTGATTCAAGCATTTACGGTCGGCTTATGGTTTTCTATTGTTTCCAAAACGCTCACCAACCAGTAGTATGTTATTAAGTTAGACTGAATTCGTTTAGTTATGAAAATGTAAAGTATAACGCACGTACTGTTTCAAGCTATCATACGGCGAAGAAAGTTGGCTGAACGAAAGCAAAGAAGTCCAAGTGCTCATATTTGTCATAATGGGGTGGGGTTAGCGGACCTCATTAATACTTCCAAAGTATCTAGGATCAAATATTAGAAGCTGACTCATATCTACTCCCCTAAGCTATATTTCACAACTTCAGAGTAATACAGGACTCACTGCTGTGCTTTATATTGGCCTGATAATTAAGAGACGAATCTCACCTGCACAAATATACCAAAGAAAAGAGTATTTTATCCACTTCTTTCAGGTTATCATTAATTGTCCGTAGTTTTTGGTTTAGCGGGAGTTACTATAACGAGGTTGTATCGTTTGTGTTTTTTATTCATAACGGAAATAGGTATTTTGTAGGAATTAGAGCTCTTTGAAGATGCTTATTGTGTGTGTGCGTCACCTGGTATTTTTTAGAAATGCCACTAAATAATCATTCCATTTGTTATACGATGCGATTCAGTCAATGCATTCGAAAGTTGCATTTGGTTGTGCTGAATATTACAACTGTTGGAATCTCGCATGTTTGTCACATCTTCAAATATATAGATGATCGTTTCAGTATAACCTTATCGAATAACAGTTTATTTTGAACAGGGACACATCAGTATTGTGTAGTCGTTGCCCCTTGATTTCGCGGAGATCGATACTTATTGACGCAGCAACGACAGACATTCCGGCAATAAAAGTTTAATTTCTCCCACGCATTACGTAGCTCTGTAGGCTAAAGTGCTTCTTACCCGATCTAGGTCAATGAGTAGAGAGATTAGTTGAAAATACTTATGCTCTGCATAAAATAATAAACTTTTGTTGAGCTATGGTACAACAAGTGGTGTAATTTGGCCTCCGAATTTGAGCCAAGTTCTGGATTTTTATTACCGTCACACCAATTTGTCGACTGTAATTTGACCTGCAAGAGTAATCCTCGCAATTGATTCTTGAATGTGTTGTTTCTGGTTCCACATCAAGGTAACTTTGAAAACCAAATAAAGATAGCCAGATATCGTTTTCATTAGCAGCAAAAATATGTTGTTGTACTGGATAGACGGCTTCGCTAATATATCCATATCTGGAGGAAATATATATACATGAATAGAATATGTCAGTAGGCACATTAAATGGTATTAAATTCATTATTTATCCCTGTAGCTTGGTTGTGCAAATAATGCATGTAGAACTGAATTTTGAGTTATGTATTTTTCATCAGCCATGCCTACGAAAGTTTTGAGCTGGCCAATAATACTGACCCTCACGTAATAGGTATTAGTCAGTCTAATATAGTTATATACACTGAATCACTAGGTTTCATTTTGTCAAAATAAGAAATTAATTTTAGACAAACCTGTTAATAAATGGGCTTAGGTTAACAAAATGAAAACGTTTTCTTTAGCACGAGTCAGTTACGTTTGCATAACGTTAGTCAGTCATATTTAACGAATATCCCATATATTTAGTGGTCATGTTTCACGGCCATTAATTAAAACAACAGACTACTGCGCGGTATAATCATCCTTTGGCTAGGAAACTTGTACAACGAGAACAAATTTGAATTTGTCAGTCAAAATCCTTGTTAAAGTAGGATTAGGCTGGTAAAAACTAGATATAAGGAAATGAAAACATGATACTGCACTATAGGGTTACTAACTGTTGGTCTGAATTACTTAAAAAAGTCCACATTTCAGCTTAATAAAAACAAATGTCACAGGTAATTACTTGACGGCATATCCTGAGAACAGTCACAGTAACACATGAACCCATCATCTTCTCTCTAAATTTTGAATGTTTCATGACTCATTCCTTTCTGCGTCAAACCAGTATTTTCCATATCTACTTAAATGTCCTGACATTTTTATTAATTTGATTTTGCCATACTTTTACGTTTTGTGGTAACTTGCTCCCAGTCTCTTCGATTCATAGTTATTTAATAATATTTTTGTCTTATATCACTTAAGGTTCCCAGTGACTAGTTTTTGTTACTGTTTCATTAACCATTCGGAAGCTTTGATTTCATGCTGTAGTTATAAGAGATAGTCATTGGATTTATTGTTGGGTGCCATTACTTTCTGTTTTACTTTGTTCAACTACCTTCATATACAAAATAAAGTGGTTTGGCGAATGGTTGAGGTTCTAACGATAACCACGAACAGTGGATGGCAACGGTGGGTGAAATGGTTTAGAGTCAGTCACAATGACGCAGTTACATTGACTCTTTATCTTCCTTTATATCTTGAGTTCTAATATTCTTTTATACATACCTTTCCATTCTGTCTTCTCAGACCATATTTTCTCAGTACTTGATCCTTCTCGTTATCATCGATAATACGGTTATTTCGATTTCTTTAATATTTATTTTGTTATTTTCATCTTGTTGTGCTGATGTGGTATGGCAGCCTGGGCTAATGCACGTTTGTTGTGGGCTCTGTGTTAATTGTGATTGACTTGTAAGTGAGCTGACATCTATTTTAGACATATTGTTTTTATAACTTTGGTTAGACAGTAATCTTGACTTACTATTTGGTTTCAGGTAGAAATTCTGCTCCTTTTTACTAAAATTAAGACAGTTGGGTAGTAGGATTTATAACACAAACATGAGCTTTGATATTACCTACTAGATTACACCATTCTTGTTTTTGTCGTTTGCTTATTTCTAGTCAGTCAGACGCAAAGTAGAAGCTGACACATGTGTATATCGGTTAAAGTTCCCATACCTTCTTAACACTGCTAGATGAAATGGTCAAAGCAACCCCCAGAGTAGTGGAGGTAGTAATAGAAAAGATTATGTACCGAAGATACAACTCAAGAAAATGTAAATTAGTGAAATAATTAAAAATTTATGAGCAATCTAGAAACTTATGATCTGAGGGTAGACAAAGAATGAATAAATCTGGGTCATTGCGAACGATTTTAAGTCATGTTACCCAAAGTCTTTAACTATTGCTTGCGATAATCATTTGAACTAAAACTAGGTAGTTTATACCTGTTGAAGTGGGTCAGTTCAATTGTCAATTACTTCATGGACTGATACCGTATCTTGGTTTTGCTGCCTCTGACATTCTTTCAGCCCATTTTCACTCGTTCCACCATTGATCGTCGGGTGAGATGTGTTTGAGCATACAAAATATCCTCTCTTTAAAGTTTCTTACATATTTTTTATTTTGTGAAGCTTGAATTTATTGGCAAATTGTTTGCAGTCACATTGAAGGTCGGTAACATTTTATTGTCAGCGTTCTTGTTGTGAGGTAACTCTAGTCATAGTTTTTATCTTCTTTATTTGTAGTTCCAATGATTCGTTTGGCGGATAAAATACGTCAAAGACAAAGTGGCATCACTTCTACAGAACCAGATGCTGTTCAATCGGCTTCCGTTCGAAATGCTACTATCCGTGATCGTCTTGTGTTACAGGAACTGCAAGAGTTAAGGGCTAATATATCCTCCCAATGTTCAATTCATCATCCCGATCCAAACAAACTCCATGAATTCACATTAATAGTAAGACCAAATGAAGGAATTTGGGCTGATGGAAGTTATCATTTCAATATTGTTGTTCCCGAAGGTTACAATCACACTCCACCACTAGTCAATTGTACTACACAAATTTGGCATCCGAATATCGATGAAGCTGGACGTGTTTGTTTGAGTTTACTTCGCCAGAGTTCGCTAGATTTCTCTGGTTGGGCACCAACAAGACGTTTGCTCGATGTTGTTTGGGGAATCGAATCTCTTTTTTCGGATCTATGCGATTTCAACGATGCACTGAATACAACAGCTGCTGAACAATACTTACGTGATCCTGAGGCATTTCATGATACTGCACGGAGCTATGTCTTTCGTTTCGCACGATAATCAGTTTATTTCCGCATTCGACTTTGTGTATTTTCAATGCTTAGAAAAAGCCCTGCACAAATCCAACATGTTATTGTCCAGAGACACTTGAAGTTAATTATTTTTTATTTTGTAAACAGAACTGAATGCTTCATGTAAAGTATTGTTAAACATCACTTTAGGGAAAGAGATATACATTTATCTAATTTAATGGTTTGCTTGTTTATTCTGGTTACTTAAATGAGCAAAGTTAATTTTAGATTACAGTGAGAAGTGCATTCTGTTTGTCACTTTTAACAGCTAATGGTTGTAATAAAATCATAAAAATTATAATTTCGTCCTTTTGATATGGTCATAATTCTGTTTATTATGTCTGTAGTTTCATCAAAAACTAATAATACCAGATAGCACACATATAAATAATTTTTATTTTACAGTTTAATGCAGTCTATCAGACTATTGAATTTGCTACCAAGTGGAAGTGTGATTGCATGTTCATTACGACTAGTTAGTACGACAAATTCGTCACCACCACATAATCCCGATAGTAAAACTCAGAAAAGTAAGGATTCTACTTCTAACCGTTTATTAATATTGATTTTTTTCAGCTGTAGAATCTATTAAAAATGAAAAGAACAAGTCTACGGGAACTATCTACAATGTACCAGAGTACTATGAACATAAAACATTCGGTTTTTACGACTTGGAGATACAACTAAAAGGATTTCGATTACCACAACCTAATCCTTCATGATCTTATTAGTTTACAATTGTTTAAAACATATAATTGTATAATGTAGTATATAAAGAAATTAATAATGTACCAGGCACACGGAGTAAATATACAAAATATATCATTTCTTATTTCCACTATGACTTCTTTTACTCAATATTTTGTTAAGTTTGTAATACCCTACTAACCTTGTATATAAGTAGTTGAACAATTATCTGTTTATTTCTTTAGACGTCATCAACAATGAATATTGAAACGTTAGAGAAGCGAGTATGTGAACTAGAACATTTAGTATTTGGACCTACTAAATCAGTGAAAAGGCTTACAACTGAACATGAAAAAGTTGACCTAATTATTAGTTCATTTTATTAATTTCTTTATCAAATATATATTTAGAATTTAGTGGATCAACTGTATGAACTATACTCTGCTATGTCAGTTGCTGAAAAACGTCCAGTTAGTAGTAAATTACTATCAAGAAGTAAGAGATTTTTTTCATTTCTGTTTACAGTGTTTACCTTCTATTCAATAATTCTTTTTGTCTAGTTAATGAGATTCAAAAATACACCGACCCAAATTTCATGGAAGATGATACACTTTTGGCTCAGTCTAAAATTGAAATTATTTTAGCTCGTAAGTACAATAAAGAATGTGTTTTTTTTTCGATTTAGTTTATAAGTAGTTTTGGTGATAGTACTTTGTTGTCATCTACTTAGAATAAATTCTAGTTTACTTTTTTTTGGTGGGCGAAACGTACGTGTAACGAGTAAGTAAAGCTTCGTCTATTTAGTAGCTTGTTATGCTATTCCGAAATAAATGTAGTTGTATGATCCTAACCTTTCAACCGCTTAAAACTTCTAAAACTTATTACAGGAAGTCGTATTCAATATATCGTTATGTTTAAACAGAGAGTTTCGGTGAATCAGTTTTCACCAATAGAAATTCGAGACAATGATATTTAACTTCGTAATTTTGTGAACTATGTTACTCTTAAAATAGTTTTGATCATTTAATAAACTCATTTCTGTGATCATTCAGCACTGTATATCAACGGACAACTTTTCGGAATAAAAACCACCAACACTTGTCACCTACTAACCACGTTACAGTTCGTTGACCTCATGAAATTCAATCGTATTTAGTTTTCAAATTTTCCCATTTTCTTGACTACTCACCTTCATAAATTGCCATTTATTCTATCAAATAGTAACTATCCAACACTTAACGAATAAAAATTCTTTGGGTTTTTATTTCATCATATTATATCCTTTCCTCATGCTGGTTTCTGACAACTCACATTATTATTCCAAATTTACCTATTCTCACTTTCAAACTACTTTTCGTCATCTTTTGCGTATACTAAAAGATATGCAACATCGGTCACTATTCAGTGATTAATCAATTGCAAGTATGTCATTCCTACAGGATGTTAGTTGCGGCCCAAATAACAGTTGTAGCATCTCAGAGTATAAAACCAAACGATTCAGGTGTGAATTTACCAAGAAGCACCATTTTCCCCTCAAGATTGCAGGTATACTTTAATAACGAGTGTCAACTAGTAGGAAACCTAGATTGAGCAGTATATCTTGCCGACAACATTCAGTCATGATAAGTCTTGCTAATTTGAATGCTATATCCGGTCCCTAAGCTATTGTCGTAACCCCCAAGCCAGAACCACACAGCGACCTGAACACGGGAGAAAAGGTACAAAATATACAAGAAGCACTTCTCTCTAAAGGCTCGTTTTAATACAGAAAATATAGGGTTTTTATAGTATTTTAGATGTCCTTGTGTTTCCCGAAAATTCTGGAATGCTATTAAAAATAGTAGCAGTATAGTAATCAGCCAATCAGAAACTCTACATGTGACTTTTCACTTTCTTGATGTTTCTGGCCGAACTTCAAGTGAACGCTGATTGGATAAAATGCATCTTAGTGTTTCCTGATCCTTTCTTGTCTTTTGCGAGAAGTTTTCTGGATCATCCCAACAAGTCACCTAATGTTTATGCCATATGTTCTGTATAACTCTGGACCAGCATAATATTATGCCAATTCACTTCGTCAATATAACTTGTAATTTAGTACAAAATCGTGTTGTCTGTTTTAAGGTACAATATATAGAATGTAAATTCTAAGGAGGCTATTTCGTTCTTGAGAATCAAAATAAATGGTAGAGTTTTGGAGCCTAAAGTCCATTTGATGGATAGTTGATAAAATCAACATAATTCTAACATGCCTGATTGATTATAGACCATTCTCTATCACATCTTATAGTCACCTGTGTAGATTTTTATTTATAAATATAGTAACAGAACGCTGTAGATGTAAACTTTCCTACTTTTCTATTCTTTTTGAAATCTATCCTCCTTGTTTAATATCGTATGTTTGATGAAGTATCAATAGGTTTGTGCAAAGGAACTATCGATTTTCTTCGTTTGCTTACTTTGTGATATCGTTTTTACTTCTAGGATTTCATTATTGTAAATCAGTTTGTGACATTTCATGGCTTATTTCGCGCTTCATGTTTGGTTGGTACCTAATTGTAAAAAATATTCCAAAAAGTTGTAGCTTGTATCACAAAATATGACGTGAATGTGAATTACCGATTTAATCCAGAATTTAAAAAAAGACTCCCTGTTTAACAAGGAATGATGAGCAATTCCTGTATTTAATGTAAGCTCTCACAACTGATGTTCCAAATATTTAAACCGTTAGTCATAGTTATTCATTTTCAGTAGAGTTTGATTTGCTATAACCATCTCATCTCCTTGTCCTAATGGAATATGGCAACTTGAACTTATATATATATATATATATATATATATATATATATATATATATATATATGCTTTTTAAAATATTTGGAGATCATTCAACTAATAGATCAATAATTGGGTCAGTATGGCATGTAATATTTAAATGTATCCTGTTAAAAATACTTTTCGTCTAGGAATAAACACCACTGTCATCCGCCATTTTGATCTTACGCCTGGCGATTAATCAAAATGAAGTGAGAATTACTGTTTACGCTATCGTAATCCACATACACCTCCAATTAATTCTTTAATAGAAATTATTCCTAAATATCTACAATTAAATGACTAAATAGACGAAAAAATAATCGTATATTACTGACTACAATACTTGGATGACTTGACAACGTGGAGTTTATCCCCACTTTACTTTTTTCATGCATTATTTTTTAATTATGATCAGTTTACGTATTAGACATCTCATACATTTTGTTTTACTTCTAAATTTTATTATTTTAGAACGAGACAGGATAGAGAAAATCGGTAGTGATCTTGAAAAGATTTCAAAGTTGCGAGATTGTTTAAATCATCCAGCATTTGGAGGTTATTTTTTTTTCATGTAGAAATTTATCTATTTTAGAAATCAGTACGCTAAAACAGAAGTTTGAAGATCTACGAATGGTACATAATGATCAATATGTTATGTCCGAGAAGTTGATCGCTGATACACAAGCTTTATTAGATACATATCATAATTTGGTATGTTATATGTGTTAGTGATTTGAATTGCCTGCAACATTTTTGTTTCACACTGTCATCTCTTTCCTGATTCAAATAATCTATTAATCATCCGATATATCTTGAATGATTAGTATGTTTTTATCTTGTACTTCACATCTGTTAAATTGGACACTTCATGCGATCGAGATCTAACACCTTTATACTACATCGTTTATAAACCTAGCTCTTCACTTAAGAACTTAATGAGATACGAGATTAAAAAAGGTGTATTCTTATTACTCAACGCATTTGCATAGATAGTTTATCATTAACTTTGTATGGGAAAATAAAATTGAAAAACACACCGTAACTATCGTGGGAGAAGAAGTATGAAGTAAACAGTTTGATGAGATGCTACAAGTTTTAAGTGAGAAAAATCGTTTCTACCATTATCCAATATTTTACTCTGGCTAATTCTTTCATTGCAATGCAAATAAATTTCAATTCAACTTTAGAATCTTAAATAACTTTAAAAAAAGTAATTGTGGCTGATTAACTCTGTTGTATATAAGCATGTCAATCTACCTTAAACAGTTCTATCATCTAAGGCATTTTTACTAATAAATGTAATTCTTCTATATATCATTTCTTCAAGTTCTCCTCTACATATTTATGTCATTTGTTGTGTTATCTTGTTTGATGTTGATTATGCCTTGAATGTTGTGTGTTGTTGCAGAGTGTTAGGGTTAAATTTATTATGTATCATTTACTTACGGAATTCGTGAGCTTCACATTAATCGGTCATAAACTTTACATTACAAGTTTACATTGATGATGATCTTTTCGCTGTATATTTATTGTGACAGTAGGTAAAATGTAGGCTTGAATCAGTATGTTTACAATATTTATGAACACACTTGTGCGTTGAACTATTTGGGAGAGTCCACATCGCCAGCTGATTTTAGTTAAAAAACCATTCAAAATACGAAGCAGTGAACAACTGCTTTTTTTATATGGAAATTCTAATCAGTGCAAAATAATGCTCCCTGGTTTTCAGTGGTTATTTAACTAAATTCAGTCCGTGATATGTACTACAGATTGATGAGTTCTCATAAACCTCTTATGCTACTAGTATGCAAAAATGTTCAAACTTATGACCTATGCTAGCCAGATATGTAACCCAACTATGCTGTCTGTTCCATTATATAACTACTAAAGATTGGTGACTCTGAAAGTCAGTGATCATTATCTTTGAAGCATCATTTACCTAAGCAGGGAGGACAAGATATAAATCCTTAGCTAAAAGTAAAACAATAAGGACAACTAATTTACTAAAATGGACAATGTGATTAAGATGTAATGCTGTATGTTAGTTATTTCCCAATACGATTCTCACATCATTAGTTAAAATAAAATTGACATATTCAACAATTGTTTTCCTTTCGTCTGTTACAACCTTTATTTGCCTGCACATTAGTTGATGTTTTATATACAGGGAGTTTACGACCCTGACATGATAGTTTACTTAGTACAACCTTGAGATTTGTAGAGTATGAGTCCGATTTGTGAATGGATGGACTTGGGGGTCGATAAAAGAAACTATCCAACTATTGACCTATGAGCAAACTGGTTGGTGAGGAGAGAGCAGATTTGTCTGGAACTGTATAACCGATTTAGTCCTGATCCAACTAACTCAGAAAAGTTATCTGAATAAACAGATAACTAATAGGATCATAGTACACAAGGAATAAGAATAAAATGATCGTATCCAAATTGGGACATTAGAGTAGAAAAATAGAATACAAGGGTCACATTTAAATTACAGTGATTTTGGAATAGAAAGGAATATGATAGAAATTTACGCATTAAACAAAAGCTTAGGATTCATAGAATAAGAGGCAAAATTAAATGTTAGTACTTTACGAATTTCGAGTTAAACTAAACAGTGTCCCCTAAAATTGCTTTCGTTTTTTGTCATTGCTTCGTTAGTTCTCTTTTCATATAATCTATCAGGTAGATCGCACAAATCTCACTTGGTTTTTTTCTTTCTTCTGTGACAGATACGTGACACATCTAAATTATTCATATATTGGAATCAACGTGCTTTAGCCACAGGATCATCAGTGGACTCATCTGATTCATGATTGCCAGACTCTCATCTAATTTACCTTAATTTTCTATTCTCTACTATACCTTTTTTTCTGGTTGAGGGACATAAACAATTATCCTGTCATTATTATTATATTATGTAATATGATGTAACGTTTGTATATGGGCGGAAGCAACTTTTTATCCTAACTTGATCTGTACAAAAACTTAAATAAAAGTGGTAATTATTCCTATTGATTAATGTCCTCTGTTTTCTTTTATTGTTTGTATATGAAGAGTTTATATGAATAAAATGAAAGGTAGATTGGCTGGGGTTTTTTTCTTTACCGCCACTAATAAATTTTGAGAGTGATCATAAGTATTAAGCAAAACAGTGATTGGTTTAAGTGTTATCGAAACATGTGCTCGGTATGTATAGGCGCGCACATTTTTTTTCCGTAAAACAAATTATCTCTGTTTGTTTACACGTTCACGCTTGAATCAAAACCAGTGATACTGTGGCTACAAAATAGCTTATACTAGTCAGTATTTGAACGAATGGTTTTACAGAAGTTGGGCACCGTTTATATAAAAGACGTTTGTAAAAATTTAATTTAAAATAATCTCAGCGATTGAAATTTAAATGATCCCAGCGTTTCGTATGGCAATCTTGTCTGGTGTTCTTCAGGGTAATAACCAAAATTATTGAAGAATATATGACGTTTAACCACCGAACATACACTAAATGCTTGTCCAACCATATTCAGATGTGACATTGTGATTACAACAGCTCATCGTTACTAAGAAAGTAATCACTGCACAAATTCTGTCTTAACAATAACAATAAGCGGGAAACAGATTTGAGTGACAAGAGGGAAGGTGTCAAAAGCTCTTCACTTATATGAAGACAGTTGTGAACTGTCGTTTTAATGTTATTCAGTGTTATTAATGATGGTCGTGTCATATTAATAGCTCGCTTAAGAATCGCATGTAGAGAGGGGAATCTTTTCTGGGCTATCTTTCAGTGATAAATTAATCCCCACCGTCTATTTTACTTCAGATTAATTGGAAGTCTATTCTATACAAAATTTAAATCTTATTTATTTGCTAAATGGATCGGCGAGACTATAATTTATGGACGAACCAATCAGATATATGATAGCGAGTCACGAATTTTGGCGCGGAATTCATCAATACATTTGGCTAATTAGAGTTTTGGCATTATAGCTGGTGTCAATTCGTAATGAAAACCCTAAATCTAATTCTTAACCCAAACCATCAACTGTGAATGAGAATTCTAACTGCTTTATAACTCATTTAGTCCTAATCAGTAGGTGTCGACGCTCAAGGTCACTTCAGCCTCGCTGAAAGGTTGTCCATAAATTATAGTCTCACCAATGGATCATTCGTTTTCACTAATTCCCAAAGTTAAGCGACCGTTTTCTTTAGAGAATTCACACGGTTCTTTCAAATTATAAAGGACATCGAATAAACAGGTCATCATACATTCCAGAACATTTTCTTACATGAAGAAAAATGCGGTGTTTGTATAATTTTATCACATGAATAAGGTAGCATTGGCTTAATATAATATGATCAAAGGTGATTAGTAAGATGAAATTTTGTACGAATAAGTCATAAGGTGGATTATTTTTTAGAATCAGCAAGTAAGGAGCTAAAGGACACGTGATAATTTAGACTGTTCAAGAATTATCGGTCATAGATTAGCTTATTAGAACTAATGATAAATATTCGTTTCATAAAGTAGACTTTTGAATATTAACCCAAAGATTGGTAGAAGTATTATTTTGAATATGTAAATCATATATGCTACAGTTATACAATGATAGTTCTGAACATTAGCTCGAATAGCTCAGCGGTGAAACCTCAAACTGTGAGTCTGGTTCGACTTACACAGGAAGTACCAATTCTCTTGAGATTACAAGTACACCTTGATAGTTAGTACATCCTAGCGCGAAACCTAAGTTCAGGGTTTCCTGCTGACCACCGACAGCTACCTAAGTGCTTAATTCAAGCCTAATAGCTTTAACTTTTACTCATTGACTGTGCCATTTGAATATCGAAGACAGATATAAGGAATCATTATATGTGAAAATTATATTTGAAATATTCTCAGCGATTGAAATTTAACTAATTCCAACGTTTCGTCCAGCTAACTTGTCTGGACTTCTTCAGGGTAATAATCAAAATCAAAATTATCAAAGAAATATATAGCTTTTAACAATCAGGATTATACTGTGTTAAACCAATCATATTTGGGTGTTGATTTTTTGTAAAATAGGATAAAATGAGTCAGTTGACTACAAATCATGTGATGGATTCAACTACATGGAAATACTTAACTGAGTAACAAATCGTATGTGTGTGAGTGTGTGTGTATGTATGTATGTGTGAGAGATTGATATGAAGGAATAAATAAAGTTCAAGTTCAAGGATGAAAAATTGATAATGAAACATCGATGTACATGTCAAAACAAAAATTGTATTGTTTAAAAACTCATTCAGTTCTTTCAATGATAATAACGATGCATGTGATATTAAAAAACAGGTTTAAACAAGAGATAGGTTCCAAATTTACTTGTCAAACGAAATTTGCCAGGTAGTTGCCATTTGAATACCATCTTTTCGGTTCAGGCTGTTCCTGTTCGCCCATATATGCAGAGCTTCTGCTGTCAATCTTTCTTTATGGGTGTTAAAACCTTTCTGAAGTATTTTGGTCCCTTCAAAATTAATCTTGTGTCCTGTTTCTAACGCATGTAACGCTATCGCTGACTTATTTTCAAGTTTCTTTAAATCTACCCAGGATTTTGAAACATTTTTCAAGCATTGTTTGTGTTCCTTCAATCTTACATTTAATTGCCTGGATGTTAGAAACAGGACACAAGATTAATTTTGAAGGGATTCCAATTTAGGGCGTGCTTCGATATTCAGCCTGACTATTTTCGTAATGTATGTCCTATCCACCTCCAGTGTTTGTTTGGAATTTCCTCTTCAGCTGTATGCCAATTTTATTTTATACCAGGTTAGGTTATTAATAATGGCATCTTGCTAATGGGTCTGGGGTATCTTGCGTAAACAGCTATTTATAAATACTTGTACTTTTCGATGACTGTAGTGATTATTCTCTAGGTTCCAGCTCCGTTCAACAGAGTTGTCTTCAACTTTGCGCCAGACTTCCTTACTTTGGTATTGTATGACAGTTAATTTGGGCCCCAGTTATTCGTCGACTGTGGGAGTACTACTTATTTTTAAACGATTCGTGCCTTGACATCTGCATCTGATCATTCTTATTTATCAGTGATGCTACCCCGGTAGGTGAAGACTTTTATCTCTTCCAGAGCTTTGTTATTAGTTGTGGTTTGTTTGCATCTCTCCTTGATTTATTTCAAGAACTTGATTTTTCCTTCATGAATTTCGGGGAATACTGCTCCGAACGACGCTAATATACTGGCAATCTGAATATGTCACTGTGCACCCAATAAAGGTGTTAAGTCAGCTTTGACGTTCAAATAGTCTAGTCGCGTCCAAGGTTGCCACTGTGTTCCATGCTTCACCCTAGATACGATGGTCATCATAATCCAGTCAACAATCAGAAGAAAAAGGAATGGTAGAGTAGACAGTCTTGTCTTCCATTGATCGTCGTTTGGATTGCATCTGTTGGTTGCCATTCGTGCACGACTTGCAAATCAGTCCATCGTAGGATTTCCGTTCCATGGTGATCGTTTTAGATCCCCCATAGTATTGAAGAGGAGTTCACAAGGTTCTCCTATCTGCGCTGTCAAATGCTTTTGATAACCAAGAGAGTTGGTGTACAGTGACAAGTTCCATTCAGTTGACTACTAAGTAATGATCTGTGTTGTTGCGATTTAGTCGGAAAATGGCTGATACGAAATTCAAGCTGTTGGGCTCTAAGTTGAGCGTTTACTTAATCTTTCACTCGGTTAACTGATACTCTGTAGAAAACTTTCCCTAGTACTGATACCTCTGTAGATCTAAGACTTACCAAGGTCTAATTTCTAGAGTATCCTGATGAGGAATCCCTATTTTCAATCCGTTGGTACTTTTTATTTCCTACAAATCTTTCTGAGGAGAATGTGTAACATCTCTGCAATTACCTATATGTCTGACTTAAGTCCCTCAGATGGTATATTGTCTGGTCCTGTTGCTTTCCCAATCTTGATTTGTATGATGGCCATGCTGATTTCTTCATTTGTTGATGGAATAACATCTATAGAAAGGTCTGTAGGTGCTGCTCCTATGTATGTCGGGTTTAATGGGACTGGTCTATTCAGGAGTTCTTCAAAGTACTCTAGCCATCTGCTCCACGTATCTTGAATCTCAGTGATTGGTTGTCTTCTTTGTTCTTGACTAGTGACACTGGTTTTCAGTATTTTCATGCTGGCTTCTTACTTGTGTCATATAGTTCTTTCATATTTCTTTTTTTCGCTTTTTCTGTCGTCATTGGTAGGTTTTCTAGGTATTTCCTACTGTTAACTCCATTTGTTAGTTCTACTTCACTCTTTTGTTTGCTTATGTGCATTCGGACTGTGCCTTGGCTTTCTCTAGTCTCGTCTGGCTGTTATTGACTGCAATCCTGTTTTTTTTCTCGAATGCGCCCCAGAGTGTCTACAGAGGTCTATTCCCTATGCTGCTTCCTCTTGGTATTCAGAACCTCCTGACATGTTGGAGTTATTGTTTTTTAATTACTTTCTAGTTCTGATTCAAAGTGTTTTTTCTCCCTTTCTAGTAAAACTTGTAAGACTTGAAGATTGTATCCGAGAGCTATTTTGAACTCCCTGAGTTTTAGGGTCTTGAATGAAGGTTGTATTCAACTCTTGTACTCTTGCTTGTTCAACTGTTCAATGCCTCTTCAGCTTCAGTTTTAGCTTGCCCACCACTAGGTGGTGATCTTAAACTATATCAACTCCTCTCTCTGTTCCTACGTCTTGTTGATGGAAGCACATAGATTTCCCAATCTTGAGTCATTCTCGTTTCTTTCTCATAGTTCATGTCGTTTTATGACATGTTCACAAGC